ATACAATGATAAATATATGAATGAAATTACAGACTGCAGTGGTAGCAATTTAGGCCATGTTCACATGGCGTACTACAGCGCAAACCCATGCAAAGGCCTAGATTGCCTGAACAGGTGTTCTTGGGCATCAAACATGGCCTTCACACAGGTGTAACGCTGTAATGCATCTGTGTGAACAAGACCGAAAACTCCAAAACAGCAGACCAAGAGGAGTCAAATGTAATGTCTGCAGATGTCTTTACACTTTACATTTAGGCCCTTCTCACACCTCTGCATTTGACTAAACAGTGTTTTACCTCTTTCTACAACAACACGCGTTGCAGTGTGTTGCATTTGCCTCAGGCTACGTTCACACTAGCGTTGTGTGCAGGCGGCAGAAAGGAATTTGGGAAGCGGTTTCACCGCTTCCCAAACGCCTCGGACAATTCTGCACATTACAGCACATGGTGCTGTTCTAACGGGAGTGTTAGCGTCGCAGCAAAACGGACGCCTCTGGTCGAGTCAGGAGGCGTTGAAGCCTCCTATTCTAGTCTATGGTGCAGCTCCGCAAATGCCCGGGCAGCGTTTGCGGTGCGGTTGTGACGCGGTTGCGGGGCGTTTGCGGAGTGGTAACACCATTCAAACTTCATTATAGGCGTTTGTAGGGCGTTTTTACCGCTCGGCAGCCGCCTAGCAACCGCCGCTGAACCGCGCATGAGGCGTTTGCGGAGCATTTGCCGACCGTTAAAAAAAGCTCCGCAAATGCCAGACCAACGCTTGCCAAACGCTATAGGGGTTTTTGGCAAGAGTTGGTAAAACAGTCAAGTGTGAACGAGCCCTCAGGCCCACTTAAAATTAAATGGCCTCCATAACAGTGTAAACGAGCTGCAGGATACAAAGTTTGAAGAGGCCTCGAGTTAAACTATAATATTCGCATAAAATGTTCCTCAAACAAAATACTAAAACTTTGTGGACTTTGCCTCGCTTGATCAGTGCTTAGAACTTCATCATGTGACCATCAATTGAGGCCATAAGATAAATTGGGATTACCAAAAAAAAAAAAAAAAAAAAGAATTAACAGAAAAGCTTCCTAGTGCCAAATCCTACTGAAAACAAAAGAAAAAAGAAAGCCGGACAATACATACAGCAAAATTATTGGATTCTTTGGTCACAGTAAGAGACCACACAGTAAAACACATACAGCCATTTATTGACATAAGAGTCATATATTCAATACTACAAACATAACCCCAAAAAGGGGCCAAGAAAGACATAATTAGTAACAATGTGCCTCCCTCACATACATATTGATCACTAAGCACATAAATACAATTAAACAATATAAATTATCAAAGAACGCTCAACACATTTCGCCTGTGCATTTGGCTTCTTCAGGACCAGAACTTCAATGTAAGGGAGATTAGTGCTACTGCATGTAAAAATATACAAATTAAGTATACAAACACAGAGATACATAAAATAAGCAAAAAATAGATATTAGCTAGGCTTACGTGGAGATATTTTTTTTCCCCCAAAATTAAAATAAAAGTTATGTAATTCAGATGCATTGGTATACTTAGAAAATACTAGTTGATTGGCTCTTATGCAGTTTCTCTGGCTTCACTATCCCACAACAAGTGATAGCAAAGACTAATGACAAATGTTCTTAAAAAATGCTTGTGGTGCACAACGTTTGTTTCTGTTCTGTTGTCATATGTTGGCAGCCCATTCTGGGTGAATTAGCTATGTTGATGCAGCGATCCCTCTGCTGTGCTAATGTATGACAGGAGGGACACCATACCTCACAGCCCCCCATTGGCTGCAAGTGCTGATCAAATGCTGGTATCCCAGCATCACTGTTCAACGGAAGCTGCAAGTTAAGCTGGCCATACACACAGATTTCCATTCGAGAATTTTTGTTTCAAGAATATTCGTTTGATTTTCTAGTCGGTAGTGGGGTCAAAATCGATGTTGTGACAGGAAAATTCAAAGGGAAAGGAAGGAAAACGTTTTCGATTCATTTCGATCAAATGAATTTTTGGCCGGTGTATATGGTTATCATTCAGAAATTACATTGATTTTAAAATCAAATGTTAAAAGCAAAAGACAATTATTGAACGACATTCGTCCATTCACCGAGTGTTCAATGAATTTTCGTACGACTTTTTGTACCAATATTCTCGTCCAAAAATCTACACGTGTATGGCCAGCTTTAGACTTTGGCATTGTAATCTGTGATTTATACCACAATCCTTTTACACCCACAAAATTGCAGTTTGTTATTTTTTTATTCAGTGGCCTTCTAACTAAAGCTGGCCATACACGTATAGATTTTCATTTGAGAATTTTTGTTTAAAGAATATTTGTTTGATTTTCTAACCGTTAGTGGGGTCAAATCGATGTTTGTTTTCTATAGCAGTGATGGGAAAATTCGAAGGGGCAGGGAGAAAAACTTTTTTCGAACAAAAACATTTTCGGCCAGTGTATGTGGTTATCATTCAGAAATTACATTCATTTTAAACTCAAATGGTAAAAGCAAAAGACAATTTTAGAACAACATTCATCAAATGTTCAAGGAATTTTTGTACGACTTTTTGTACAAATATTCTTGTCTTAAAATCTACACGTGTATGGCCAGCTTCAGACTGTTGAACATACATCAGTACACATGGACCACAACTTGGTCAGTTCCTGATGAACTGACCGATTGTCAGTCCATGTATACCTTACTGTGTAGAGCTCTGTGGAATAGTTTTCTGTTCTACGAACCAGTAAAAAGAATAAATAACTGATCTGTTTAAAACGCAAGTTGTAAGATGTACACGCTGTAATACCCATACAGAAGACAGAGGGATACATTTCAGCAAAAAAGGCAATGTGGTGCAAGTTAAATACAGAATACGGATAAAAAGTAATGTGGGCAGGAATGGACTGACAGGCATCAGAACAGCTGCTCAACAGACGGGTCATGTATTGTCTTTTTAGGGAATTCCTCTTTGGCTTGATCCCATGAAGCACGCCTACCCCACTTAAATTCCAGCCTATTTCTGTCACTTCCCTGATATGCAGACGTGAAGCCATCACTAACGCATTCACTGCTACAAGAATCTTAAAGCCAACCCAAGACTTTCCATGGTGTACATTCCATTTACTCCATGTAAGCACAGTAGCAATAAAATAGTTGTTTTAGAATATTAAAAATCTAGGAGTATTTTTTAAAACTAAAGCCTGGTGTAGACCATTTTACTTGCCTCACGGATCACGGCCAAAAAAAAAAAAGAGTCAACGATGGTTTCCCAGTATCATGCTTTGTTAATAGGAGGTTGTCAAGATGGTCCTTGGCATTACTGCTCAAATTCACTATCACACTCTTCAAATCCCTGAGCATGCACTCTCCCCTCTTCCTTATCACAATAGCTTTTTATTATGCAGCAGCAACAAATTGGAAGATTGAGTACCAAAAAAGTGATAGCATAATTTAATAGAAGTTTATTTTTTTTCTTTTTAAATCGTCCTTACCGATTCAATGCTGCATCTGTCCCCTCTCGGCTCCAAGGGTGAGAACTGAGCGATCAGACACCGCTGATCGCTTAGTTCTCCCTGTAGCTCTGACCAGAGAGCGCTGGGTTGTGTAATGTGTCAGATTTGGCTTTTTGTTCCTCCATTTTTTTGTGTTATACCAATACAAAAGAAATAAACTTAAGAATGCCTAAACATTTGTAACTGTTTTCTGAGCGAAGTGGTGCATTATCTGACAGAAATGCAGGGGTGCCAAAAATTTTGTCCATGACTATGTATTTTAAGTCTATACTGTATATTGACAAACATGTATTATTTGTTTTACAAGATCCTTTTGCTGTACTGGAGGCTGGTGCTTGAGCACTGTATTGCCTCTATACTGTTGTCACAGTTTGTGACTTTTAGCTATACCATAATTTAAAAAAAAAAAAAGAAGAAGAAGTGTTGCACACGGCTGTGGCACAACCTCGTTCAGTTGGACTGGTCGCATTCGTCGGGCGTTATAAAGCACACCAAGATTAAAGAATGTACATGGCTCTTGTACTAACACAATATTTGCTTATCAAGGGGTTCAGCTTTAAACAGGAGACACACACTTATGTATAAATATAATTTCCCAATCTTTGCTTATACATGTATCCTTCTCTTTACTTGTGCAAGGTAAAGCAGTAGATACCAGATAGCTAAGGGTTACAACTTGTGCCAGATATCAGACCTGAACAAATTCCTGGGGTTCAGCTGCTGTTAATGGATGTATTTGTTCAGAGAATCCACAAAATTCCCTGCTAACTACAAGGGTGAACGAATTGACTAAAATCTACAAAAATTCTTCCACTTATGCAAATAACAAAAGATATTTTACAAGATATTAAACTAATCAAATTATTCAGAATGAATTATCACATTAAAAAGATTTGGTTTAATGACACATTATTAGATTATAATGCATTAGTTTCCTAAGGTACATATAATTGTTTTGTAGATTACACTGTCAACATTTTGAAACTATTTCTTTGCCAACTCCTTATCTGAAAAGACTTAAAACATGTCCATTAATGGACAAGGAGACTCAAACAAACTTTCATAACGGAGTCCATTCATTTGATTCAAATAGCACACAGAGATAATCCCTCTTCAGCTGTCCTCCAGGAATATGTCACTGTCACTCACAGCCTTCTAGGTTCTGATGGCTGTGGGATTCCAGAGACACCAGCTGACAACTATCCATTTATGGTTAGACAGGGCACCACGACAAGACACTCCCACATGTACAGTAATTCAGGGTGGGTAGCATGGGCTGTCCCTGAGAGTGCCATATTTGGGAAGGCAGATGGGGGACTCCCAAAGTATTCCTAAACTAGGGAAGGGAACTACAAGAGAAAAAAGGGAGAGGGGCTACGAAGGAATATAAAAAGGGCTTGCTCAGTCAGTGAAGAGTTGCATTTGCTGGATATACCACCTGTCTTTCCAGTTAACACACAAGATCCCTGCTACATCCAACCATGTGTGACGACGAAGAGACCACTGCTTTGGTCTGCGACAACGGCTCAGGCTTGGTAAAGGCTGGATTTGCAGGAGATGATGCACCAAGAGCTGTATTCCCATCCATTGTGGGTCGCCCTCGCCATCAAGGTGTCATGGTGGGCATGGGACAGAAAGACTCCTATGTTGGTGATGAGGCCCAGAGCAAGAGAGGCATTCTCACCCTGAAGTATCCCATTGAACACGGCATCATCACTAACTGGGATGACATGGAGAAAATCTGGCATCACACATTTTACAATGAGCTTCGTGTGGCTCCAGAAGAGCACCCCACTTTGCTTACTGAAGCACCACTAAACCCAAAAGCAAACAGAGAAAAGATGACACAAATCATGTTTGAGACCTTCAACGTTCCTGCCATGTATGTCGCCATCCAGGCTGTCCTGTCTCTGTATGCCTCTGGTCGTACAACTGGTATTGTGCTGGACTCTGGAGATGGTGTCACACACAATGTCCCCATCTATGAAGGCTATGCCTTGCCCCATGCCATTATGCGTCTAGATTTGGCTGGTCGTGATCTCACAGACTATCTTATGAAGATCCTCACAGAGCGTGGGTATTCTTTTGTGACAACAGCCGAAAGAGAAATTGTCCGGGACATCAAAGAGAAGTTGTGCTACGTAGCTCTGGACTTTGAAAATGAAATGGCCACAGCTGCATCATCCTCCTCACTAGAAAAGAGCTATGAGCTGCCTGATGGTCAAGTCATTACCATTGGTAATGAACGTTTCCGTTGCCCTGAGACCCTGTTCCAGCCATCCTTCATTGGTATGGAATCTGCAGGTATTCATGAGACAACCTACAACAGCATCATGAAGTGTGACATTGACATTCGTAAAGATCTCTACGCCAACAATGTCCTCTCAGGTGGAACCACCATGTACCCAGGTATTGCTGATCGCATGCAGAAGGAAATCACTGCCCTTGCTCCAAGCACAATGAAGATCAAAATTATTGCCCCACCTGAGCGCAAATACTCTGTCTGGATTGGAGGTTCCATCCTGGCTTCCCTGTCCACCTTTCAGCAGATGTGGATCAGCAAGCAAGAGTATGATGAGGCTGGACCTTCTATTGTACACCGCAAGTGTTTCTAAATGTGTTTATACGGTGAAGTATTCTTTATTTCTAAGGCTATGCCTTAAAACAGAGACATTACACATCTTGTGGACTGAATTCTAAAGGAGACTTAAGTCAGGTGCATTTTACCTCACTCATCATTCTTTTTTCAGATATATACTTATTCATTACAAAGGTGATATAAAACAATTAGCATATAAATGTTTCTATGATTTGGGTTTAATACTCATTCCAAAAATTTATGTTAAACTGCTGCTATGATGCCAAATTAAAAGATCTCAACAACTCATTTTTGTTTTCTTTTGTGATTTTTTTTTTTTTATTACAAGATTGGCATGTAGCCGGCCTTCAGAAATGAAAGTCAGATGGTTCTGTATTGTGCATTACAGTCATAGGTTTGCAGTGTCTAATTGTATTTACATTTTATGTAAGCTGCTTCTAAAGATATCCTTTTTATTATATGGTATAAAATGTTTTTTGTTGCTCCCTGTATGCATTTACAGTTACAGTATTTTCCCCCTAAAATGCAGCAAGCCTTTCTACCATCCTACACATTTATAAAACATTGCTAGCTTGTTTATGGAGGTGTTTTGTCACAGGGAAAAGAATCAATTGTAATTGCAGTATTATGTTACAAGGACCTACCATTCAAACCAGAAGCTAGGTTTTCTAATGTTCTATTGCATCAATAAGGGATACATTTAGAAAAAAGAAAAAACATTAATTATTTCAAAGGGTAAAAGAAGGGTTTGCATTGTATTGGCAAAGAGGTGTCCTAAAGCTCATATTGTGTAAAACAAAAACAAAAAAACAATAAAAAAAAACAAATCTGGTGTTCTGCCAAGTACGTTTGAAGGGATCACTAAAGCAATATCATATACATTAAAACAAATGAACCTTTAATTTTCTAAATCTCTGATAGTGTTTCCCTAGTTCTGCAGTTTTGAGTCACGTGTCTAAGGTACGATGTTTCTTTTCTTTGTAAATGAATGCAAAAATATCATTTGTGACGTCTCTACTTTGCTATAGCACTTCTCTAAATGACAACTATAAGATTACACCCTTGTGGAAATACTTTTTGCTCCTGCAGCCTCAAATGTGTCACAGCTGCTGCTTCAACTGTCCACTTGGCCATTCACTTTAGCACGTTAGAACCCACAAGGAGACAGACAATGCTGATTCCCGAGCTCCCAACTAACAGAAACACACATTAATATCCTCCGGAGATCTGAAAAAGGGCTCTCAGCTACACAGCATGTTGGTGTGATTCATGATAGAATGCTTTATTATTCTATCTGTATATAAATAATGTCAGAAAAGAAGAAAAAAAAACACACAACCACTGCCATTTTATAAAAGACTTACTTGGCAGCACAGTGCATTCATTAATAGTTTTTCATACATATATTTCCCTCAAGTAATTTACAGGCAACTCCAAATAACTACAATAAATACACAGAATTATAACAAAAAGTTTAAAGTGACACTAAATTAAAAAAAAAAGAATTTGGAGGAGGCTGAGAAAAATGAAAGTTACTTTTTTGAGTTAAGAATGTATATTTTTTTTTTTTTTTTTACACCACTAAGAATATAGTTTAACCAGTCACCCTGTGAGTAACACTGCATCAATCAGTACTTGATGGCACAGCAGATAAAAATATTATAATTGTCAAATGATCATTGGTGTTATATTGTAATTCTCAAGTCTGGTTCATTTAAAACGGTTTTTTGAAAAGGCCAGAGCTGAATTACATGCCATCAAACAACAAATGTCATCACCCACATATACATTTTTCAGCATTAAACTAATTGGCTGTGGACTGGTTGCTATGGGTTACAGTACTTTGCTCTTTACATCAAATCATGATAAAAACAAAAAACAGAAAAGTTAGAAAATCCTCTGCTTTTCAGTCTGTAATGGCAGTACCAATTGGACCTCAAATTATCACAAATTTGTCTGAAAGCTGAACTTCAGTTACGGCAAATTTTACAGCTTAGATCAATTATTATTATTATTATTATACAGGATTTATATAGCGCCAACAGCTTGCTCAGCGCTTTACAATATAAAAAGGGAGACTATACAGCAACAATACAGTTCAATACAAGAGGGTTAGGAGGACCCTGCTCCTTGGAGCTTACAATCTAAGAGAGAGGGGCTGGTGGTACAAAAGGTAATAACTATGGGGGATGAACTGATAGGAGGAATAGAAGATTCCATTATTAGCTGAAGGCAGGATAGACTACCCTGAAGAGAGGTTTTCAGAGATTGCGTAAAAGTTGGCAGAGTAGGCGACAGTCTGATAGATTGGGGTAGAGAGTTCCAGAGGATGGGGAGGCTCTGTAGAAGTCCTGGAGATGAGCATGAGAGGAGACGACAAGGGAGATAGAGAGCAGGAAGTCATGCGAGGAGTGGAAAGGACGGTTTGGGTGATATTTGGAGACAAGATCGGTGATTAAATTTTGGGCAGAGTTATAAATGGTTTTATATGTTATTGTAAATGTTTTGAATTTTATTTGTTGGGCAATGGGAAGCCAGTGGAGGGATTGGCAGAGAGGGATGGGCAGATATGGAACGGTTAGTAAGGTGGATGAGTCTGGCAGCAGCATTCATGATAGACTGAAGAGGGGATAGCCTGCGATGAGGTAGGCCAATCAGGAGGGAGTTACAATAGTCAAGGCATCAAATGTAAGTATGTATGTGCAATACCTGAGGGGATTCCTATGGAAGCTGGAAATCACTGTAAATAGGCACCGCTACCACTGCTGGGTGACTTCTGGGTCCCATGCCGAGCAGCTACCCTGCTGCTTACTGAACAAAGGCATTTGCATTTTCTCGGTGAATGCCAAGTGTTCTCTGATTAGATGAGGTGGAGATTGTGAGGTCACCACCCCACCTCATCCAATCAGAGAATGCTTTTAATTCTTTGAATAAATGCAAAATGCCCATGAATAGTGCCCAGACTGAGCAAGGAGAGACCTCCTGAGTTCAAATGCAATACAGCACGTACCTGAACGTCCTCTGAATGAAGTGGGGATACCAGCGCCATGAGCCCAGTACCAGTGTTTTCATCTGGCGATGCTGAAAACTCTAAAATCAATCCGAGTGGCTAAATATTTGCAGGATTGCTTTTACAGGCATCAGAAAGACCGCCCTTCCCCATTCCCCTCCCCTCTTGCCACCCTCTGGTGCCTCTCTGGGCTCTCCCGTCCCAATGAGGAGCCTGAAACTGAATCAGGTGGTTCCACCGGCTTACCATAGAAATGATTGAGGACCAGTACATCCACATTCATTTTGCAAATCTCGCAAAACCAACACACAAAAGCGAACACATACAGTGGGGATCGAAAGTTTGGGCACCCCAGCTAAAAATTTGTATTAATGTGCATAAAGAAGCCAAGGAAAGATGGAAAAATCTCCAAAAGGCATCAAATTACAGATTAGACATTCTTATAATATGTCAACAAAAGTTAGATTTTATTTCCATCATTTACACTTTCAAAATAACAGAAAACAAAAAAATGGCGTCTGCAAAAGTTTGGGCACCCTGCAGAGTTTATAGCATGCACTGCCCCCTTTGCCAAGCTGAGACCTGCCAGTGTCATGGATTGTTCTCAATCATCGTCTGGGAAGACCAGGTGATGTCAATCTCAAAGGTTTTAAATGCCCAGACTCATCTGACCTTGCCCCAACAATCAGCACCATGGGTTCTTCTAAGCAGTGGTCTAGAAAACTGAAACTGAAAATAGTTGACGCTCACAAAGCTGGAGAAGGCTATAAGAATATAGCAATGCGTTTTCAGATGTTAATATCCTCTGTTCGGAATGTAATTAAGAAATGGCAGTCATCAGGAACAGTGGAAGTTAAAGCAAGATATGGAAGACCAAGAAAAATATCAGACAGAACAGCTCGCAGGATTGTGAGAAAAACAATTCAAAACCCACGTTTGACTGCACGATCCCTCCAGAAAGATCTGGCAGACACTGGAGTTGTGGTACACTATTCCACTATAAAGAGATACTTGTACAAATATGGTCTTCATGGAAGAGTCATCAGAAGAAAACCCCTTCTACGTCCTCACCACAAAAATCATTGTTTGAACTTTGCAAATGAACACATAGACAAGTCTGATGCATTTTGGAAACAAGTTCTGTGGACCGATGAGGTTAAAATTGAACTTTTTGGCCGGAATGAGCAAAGGTACGTTTGGAGAAGAAGGGGCACAGAATTTAATGAAAAGAACCCCTGTCCAACTGTTAAGCATGGGGTTGGATCAATCATGCTTTGGGGTTGTGTTGCAGCCAGTGGCACAGGGAACATCTCACGAGTAGAAGGAAAAATGGATTCAATAAAATTTCAGCACATTTTGGATGGTAACTTGATGCAATCTGTGAAAAAGCTGAAGTTAAAGAGAGGATGGCTTCTACAAATGGATAATGATCCTAAACACACCTCGAAAATCCACGGGGGATTACATCAAGAGGCGTAAACTGAAGGTTTTGCCATGACCTTCACAATCTCCTGACCTCAACATAATTGAAAATCTATGGATAGACCTTAAATGAGCAGTGCGTGACAGACGGCCCAGAAATCTCAAAGAACTGGAAGACTTTTGTAAGGAAGAATGGGCAAAGATACCTCAAACAAGAATTGAAAGACTCGTGGCTGGCTACAAAAAGCGTTTACAAGCTGTGATACTTGCCAAAGGGGGCAGTACAAGATATTAACTCTGCAGGGTGCCCAAACTTTTGCAGACGCCATTTTTTTTGTTTTCTGTTATTTTGAAAGTATAAATGATGGAAATAAAATCTAACTTTTGTTGACATATTATAAGAATGTCTAATCTGTAATTTGATGCCTTTTTGGAGATTTTTCCATCTTTCCTTGGCTTCTTTATGCACATTAATACAAATTTTTAGCTGGGGTGCCCAAACTTTCGATCCCCACTGTACGTAGAGTGCCTTGAAAAAGTATTCATAGCCCTTGAAATTTTCCACATTTTGTCATGTTGCAACC